ATCACACAATGGCTTTGAGGAAGTGGGTCTGCATCTTTACTCTTGCAAGTCTTTTACCTGCAGGTAAGTCACACTTTGACTTGACCATCTTGGTTAATATGCAAACCCTGGTAAAAGCAAAAATGTGTATGATAAATAAATGTACAACCATTTTTTTAATAATTAGGAATACTTTTATACTTTACTGTATATTTACTTATATTAAATACTTTAACTTAACATTTCCCTCATTATTTGGGCTGAATGACAAATTAAGGAATCTGAAGACATTATTTCACCTTACTTTCATATATTTTATTTTAATTTAATTCAGTGTTTATTTTATTGTAACATAGCTATTTAAACTTCTTGGAGATAATACGATGATTTAAAGATTAAGTCCAGACAAATACAAGAATAATTTGCACAAGTGCAAGTATGTAATGAAAAGATTACTTATTTCATTCTACTTCTTACAACAGTGGTAAGTGACCATACATGGTTTTTGCATGGCCATCGTACAAGGACCATGTATAAATTATCATAAAAAGCTGAATGTCATGATTTAAGTGAAGCACATTATCTGCCTATTGTCTTTTTGTAAACAATTTACCTCACTGCTGTCCATTTTAAATGTAGATGTTTGATATTACACAACATTGTCACATAAATCTGTTTGCCCAAGAAATGAATGCAAAATTGGCTACTATAATGAAGACTGTGATTTCAGTGGTAAACAAGTATATTTTTATTGTTTAGATACTGATTTACCACAAATTTTGTAATATTTTATCATAATATTTATTGTATATTGAAGGCTAAAATGAATCCAGTTGATGTTAATTTTCAATACATACTGTATATCTAAGGTATAGTATAAGGCTATACTTCTAGCCTTTTTCATTGTGTATCTTTTTTATCGAATGTAATATTTAATAACACTTTCTTTTCTTATCATAGCTCGGTTGCCATCTTATTAAAGTCTTAAATAAAAAACTATGCTAAAATTGTGCTCAACTATCACTAAGGGAGTACTCTGTCCATGAGCAGGATACATGATCATAATGGCAACCCACTGCTTGAATTAATTTAAGTCTATATATGAATGTAAGAAAAACACAATAGCCTAAAATTACATACAAGGAAAAAGACTAAACCAAATGTGTTTTCTAATTCCAGAGTCACATGCTCAGCTTGATGGTGAGTAGATCCTTGCACGACCATCGGTGGCTTGTTGGATCAACTTTCCATGAAAATGGAAGCACACACACACACACACACACACACACACACACACACACACACACACACACACACACACACACACACACACACACACACACACACACACACTTTAGATTGACTTGGACGGACAACAAGAACAACCAAACCAAAACATTATTCGGAACTTTCGGAAAAACTAACCAAAAAATCTATAAGATTCATTGAAATCTGTAATATTAGTAGTGTCAAGAATGTATGGGTGAATATTCATGGAGTGTGTGTTACAAATAAGAATCACAAGTCAAACATTAATTGAAGAGGCAGTGTGAGAAAGACAGAGAGAATTTAAAAAAAAGGTAATCCGAAGTCTCTTACATTACATTACACTTCCCATTGGAGAGACACAAGGAAATCAATCAAAAAGTTATAAAATTGTTTTAAGAGACATGAGCAGCCTTCCCTCCAAAGTGCAAATGAAGACACTGCTGCTTTTTGATGTCAATGTTTGGTGATCAAAGCTGGACCAAATTATACATTACATAACACTTGAGAAAACCCAATGCTACTGTATTATTAGACTCACATGTAACTGAATAAAGTGGCATTAATGAGTATTAATGTTGTTTTGTTGACACAGAATGATGGAAAGGTGATTCATTTGATGTTGAGATCTACAGTTAATGGAGTTTTTAGATGGGGAATAATAAGACAAATCAACAAAATATCTACGTAGTTAGAAACCATATATAGTTAATTTATACAAAAAATTATTGGCACACATTTTCATGCCATACTCAAAGAATGAACAATATGTTTTCATACTAGGATATCAAATACTGACCCAATGTAAACCAAATTTGATGTAAAGTCAGATACAAAGAACTCTTGAGTGTATGTTTGTTTGTTCCTTACCTTGACTGAAGTTGCCGCTAATGTTTACTTCAACTAATCTATTTTTCAGTATGCGGCATGACACCCCTGAACACCAGGATAGTTGGGGGTGAAGACGCACCACCTGGAAGTTGGCCCTGGCAGGTTAGTCTGCAGATCTTTGGCGGCCATGTTTGTGGTGGTTCCCTCATCAACAAAGAGTGGGTAATGACTGCTGCTCACTGCTTCTTCAGGTGGGTAGTCAAAACAAATGTCTTTCCGTCTGTACTTTTGCAAGGTTTTGGCCCAACGTCTTCCTAAAACCAATGCGTTTCTGTCATTTTTAATTCAGTGCAAGTCCCACCGATTGGCACGTTTCTCTTGGCCGTCAGAACCTTCAAGGCGAGAACCCCAATGAAGTGACCAAGAGTGTTGACACAATCATATTGCATCCAAACTATGACAGTGTCACCAGTGACAATGACATTGCTCTGCTCAGACTTTCCACACCAGTCCAATTCACAGACTACATCAGACCTGTGTGTCTGGCAGCGGGTGACAGTACATTCAACAACGGTACTGATAGCTGGGTCACTGGCTGGGGCGCAGTCCAGGAGGGAGGTGAGTCTGCTTGTTGCTGGCTAACAGTTTGGACAATGTGTCTTATACACAGCAGGTGGATGTGTAAATTGTCTGTCTTCCTGTTGCCCCCTCAGTGTCATTACCGTTCCCTGAAACTCTGCAAGAAGTGCAGGTGCCAGTTCTGGGAAATCGACAGTGTAACTGCCTCAATGGAGTGGGTACAGTCACAGACAACATGATTTGTGCTGGTGTTCTGGCAGGAGGCAAAGACTCGTGTCAGGTAGGAATAGCTTTTTTTGCGTCCTTACAGACAATCAGTCGCATTCCAAAATCAGTGACCTTTATTTCTTTGCTTCCAACTCCCAGGGTGACTCAGGAGGTCCAATGGTGAATCAGCAGGGCTCCATCTGGGTCCAATCTGGAGTTGTGAGTTTTGGTTTTGGCTGTGCTCGGCCCAATCTGCCGGGAGTATACTCCAGGGTTTCCCGTTACCAGTCCTGGATCGAGTCCCTCATCAGCTCAGATAAGCCCGGCTTTGTCCAGTTCACCTTCAATGGGCTTGATGCTGACAGCAGTTACACCTGTCCTGGCCTGCCACCTCCTGTTATTACCCCTACTACTGCGGAACCAGAAGGAACCACCCCAGATTCAGGATCCACAGCCTCAAGTGCTGAGTGTAAGTATCTCAGATGCCAAAGTGCTTCTTATATGAATGTCACCTTGTTTCCAATTTGTAGAAAAATAAATAACAGACTGGTAATGCTTGGTTCAGAAAGTACTGTACGTTGCTCTCAGCCTTAACATGTACTTGCACTCATTGGCACATGTGGAATGCTGTCAACCTCATTGTTTGTTCTGAAGCAACAATAAGCCGTTGTCAATGTCAGAAGTTTACAAACCATACATATAGAGGCTAAAAACTAATTGTCAATTCATTTAGTTTATCATTTTCTTTTTTTACAAAGTTCTATGACTGAAATTTATGTCATGATTGTTTTCTCTGTAAAATCATTTGTTAAAAATAGCCCTTAGTTAGTACTGTGAGCCTACTGGGAAACCTAAGATCCATCTTCAATGCTTTATGTGTTGTTTGCAGTGTGTGGCATGACACCCCTGAACACCAGGATAGTTGGAGGTGAAGACGCACCACCTGGAAGTTGGCCCTGGCAGGTTAGTCTGCAGATCTTTGGCGGCCATGTTTGTGGTGGTTCCCTCATCAACAAAGAGTGGGTAATGACTGCTGCTCACTGCTTCTTCAGGTGGGTAGTCAAAACAAATGTCTTTCCGTCTGTACTTTTGCAAGGTTTTGGCCCAACGTCTTCCTAAAACCAATGCGTTTCTGTCATTTTTAATTCAGTGCAAGTCCCACCGATTGGCAGGTCTCTCTTGGCCGTCAGAACCTTCAAGGCGAGAACCCCAATGAAGTGACCAAGAGTGTTGACACAATCATATTGCATCCAAACTATGACAGTGTCACCAGTGACAATGACATTGCTCTGCTCAGACTTTCCACACCAGTCCAATTCACAGACTACATCAGACCTGTGTGTCTGGCAGCGGGTGACAGTACATTCAACAACGGTACTGATAGCTGGGTCACTGGCTGGGGCGCAGTCCAGGAGGGAGGTGAGTCTGCTTGTTGCTGGCTAACAGTTTGGACAATGTGTCTTATACACAGCAGGTGGATGTGTAAATTGTCTGTCTTCCTGTTGCCCCCTCAGTGTCATTACCGTTCCCTGAAACTCTGCAAGAAGTGCAGGTGCCAGTTCTGGGAAATCGACAGTGTAACTGCCTCAATGGAGTGGGTACAGTCACAGACAACATGATTTGTGCTGGTGTTCTGGCAGGAGGCAAAGACTCGTGTCAGGTAGGAATAGCTTTTTTTGCGTCCTTACAGACAATCAGTCGCATTCCAAAATCAGTGACCTTTATTTCTTTGCTTCCAACTCCCAGGGTGACTCAGGAGGTCCAATGGTGAATCAGCAGGGCTCCATCTGGGTCCAATCTGGAGTTGTGAGTTTTGGTTTTGGCTGTGCTCGGCCCAATCTGCCGGGAGTATACTCCAGGGTTTCCCGTTACCAGTCCTGGATCGAGTCCCTCATCAGCTCAGATAAGCCCGGCTTTGTCCAGTTCACCTTCAATGGGCTTGATGCTGACAGCAGTTACACCTGTCCTGGCCTGCCACCTCCTGTTATTACCCCTACTACTGCGGAACCAGAAGGAACCACCCAGATTCAGGATCCACAGCCTCAAGTGCTGAGTGTAAGTATCTCAGATGCCAAAGTGCTTCTTATATGAATGTCACCTTGTTTCCAATTTGTAGAAAAATAAATAACAGACTGGTAATGCTTGGTTCAGAAAGTACTGTACGTTGCTCTCAGCCTTAACATGTACTTGCACTCATTGGCACATGTGGAATGCTGTCAACCTCATTGTTTGTTCTGAAGCAACAATAAGCCGTTGTCAATGTCAGAAGTTTACAAACCATACATATAGAGGCTAAAAACTAATTGTCAATTCATTTAGTTTATCATTTTCTTTTTTTACAAAGTTCTATGACTGAAATTTATGTCATGATTGTTTTCTCTGTAAAATCATTTGTTAAAAATAGCCCTTAGTTAGTACTGTGAGCCTACTGGGAAACCTAAGATCCATCTTCAATGCTTTATGTGTTGTTTGCAGTGTGTGGCATGACACCCCTGAACACCAGGATAGTTGGAGGTGAAGACGCACCACCTGGAAGTTGGCCCTGGCAGGTTAGTCTGCAGATCTTTGGCGGCCATGTTTGTGGTGGTTCCCTCATCAACAAAGAGTGGGTAATGACTGCTGCTCACTGCTTCTTCAGGTGGGTAGTCAAAACAAATGTCTTTCCGTCTGTACTTTTGCAAGGTTTTGGCCCAACGTCTTCCTAAAACCAATGCGTTTCTGTCATTTTTAATTCAGTGCAAGTCCCACCGATTGGCAGGTCTCTCTTGGCCGTCAGAACCTTCAAGGCGAGAACCCCAATGAAGTGACCAAGAGTGTTGACACAATCATATTGCATCCAAACTATGACAGTGTCACCAGTGACAATGACATTGCTCTGCTCAGACTTTCCACACCAGTCCAATTCACAGACTACATCAGACCTGTGTGTCTGGCAGCGGGTGACAGTACATTCAACAACGGTACTGATAGCTGGGTCACTGGCTGGGGCGCAGTCCAGGAGGGAGGTGAGTCTGCTTGTTGCTGGCTAACAGTTTGGACAATGTGTCTTATACACAGCAGGTGGATGTGTAAATTGTCTGTCTTCCTGTTGCCCCTCAGTGTCATTACCGTTCCCTGAAACTCTGCAAGAAGTGCAGGTGCCAGTTCTGGGAAATCGACAGTGTAACTGCCTCAATGGAGTGGGTACAGTCACAGACAACATGATTTGTGCTGGTGTTCTGGCAGGAGGCAAAGACTCGTGTCAGGTAGGAATAGCTTTTTTTGCGTCCTTACAGACAATCAGTCGCATTCCAAAATCAGTGACCTTTATTTCTTTGCTTCCAACTCCCAGGGTGACTCAGGAGGTCCAATGGTGAATCAGCAGGGCTCCATCTGGGTCCAATCTGGAGTTGTGAGTTTTGGTTTTGGCTGTGCTCGGCCCAATCTGCCGGGAGTATACTCCAGGGTTTCCCGTTACCAGTCCTGGATCGAGTCCCTCATCAGCTCAGATAAGCCCGGCTTTGTCCAGTTCACCTTCAATGGGCTTGATGCTGACAGCAGTTACACCTGTCCTGGCCTGCCACCTCCTGTTATTACCCCTACTACTGCGGAACCAGAAGGAACCACCCCAGATTCAGGATCCACAGCCTCAAGTGCTGAGTGTAAGTATCTCAGATGCCAAAGTGCTTCTTATATGAATGTCACCTTGTTTCCAATTTGTAGAAAAATAAATAACAGACTGGTAATGCTTGGTTCAGAAAGTACTGTACGTTGCTCTCAGCCTTAACATGTACTTGCACTCATTGGCACATGTGGAATGCTGTCAACCTCATTGTTTGTTCTGAAGCAACAATAAGCCGTTGTCAATGTCAGAAGTTTACAAACCATACATATAGAGGCTAAAAACTAATTGTCAATTCATTTAGTTTATCATTTTCTTTTTTTACAAAGTTCTATGACTGAAATTTATGTCATGATTGTTTTCTCTGTAAAATCATTTGTTAAAAATAGCCCTTAGTTAGTACTGTGAGCCTACTGGGAAACCTAAGATCCATCTTCAATGCTTTATGTGTTGTTTGCAGTGTGTGGCATGACACCCCTGAACACCAGGATAGTTGGAGGTGAAGACGCACCACCTGGAAGTTGGCCCTGGCAGGTTAGTCTGCAGATCTTTGGCGGCCATGTTTGTGGTGGTTCCCTCATCAACAAAGAGTGGGTAATGACTGCTGCTCACTGCTTCTTCAGGTGGGTAGTCAAAACAAATGTCTTTCCGTCTGTACTTTTGCAAGGTTTTGGCCCAACGTCTTCCTAAAACCAATGCGTTTCTGTCATTTTTAATTCAGTGCAAGTCCCACCGATTGGCAGGTCTCTCTTGGCCGTCAGAACCTTCAAGGCGAGAACCCCAATGAAGTGACCAAGAGTGTTGACACAATCATATTGCATCCAAACTATGACAGTGTCACCAGTGACAATGACATTGCTCTGCTCAGACTTTCCACACCAGTCCAATTCACAGACTACATCAGACCTGTGTGTCTGGCAGCGGGTGACAGTACATTCAACAACGGTACTGATAGCTGGGTCACTGGCTGGGGCGCAGTCCAGGAGGGAGGTGAGTCTGCTTGTTGCTGGCTAACAGTTTGGACAATGTGTCTTATACACAGCAGGTGGATGTGTAAATTGTCTGTCTTCCTGTTGCCCCCTCAGTGTCATTACCGTTCCCTGAAACTCTGCAAGAAGTGCAGGTGCCAGTTCTGGGAAATCGACAGTGTAACTGCCTCAATGGAGTGGGTACAGTCACAGACAACATGATTTGTGCTGGTGTTCTGGCAGGAGGCAAAGACTCGTGTCAGGTAGGAATAGCTTTTTTTGCGTCCTTACAGACAATCAGTCGCATTCCAAAATCAGTGACCTTTATTTCTTTGCTTCCAACTCCCAGGGTGACTCAGGAGGTCCAATGGTGAATCAGCAGGGCTCCATCTGGGTCCAATCTGGAGTTGTGAGTTTTGGTTTTGGCTGTGCTCGGCCCAATCTGCCGGGAGTATACTCCAGGGTTTCCCGTTACCAGTCCTGGATCGAGTCCCTCATCAGCTCAGATAAGCCCGGCTTTGTCCAGTTCACCTTCAATGGGCTTGATGCTGACAGCAGTTACACCTGTCCTGGCCTGCCACCTCCTGTTATTACCCCTACTACTGCGGAACCAGAAGGAACCACCCCAGATTCAGGATCCACAGCCTCAAGTGCTGAGTGTAAGTATCTCAGATGCCAAAGTGCTTCTTATATGAATGTCACCTTGTTTCCAATTTGTAGAAAAATAAATAACAGACTGGTAATGCTTGGTTCAGAAAGTACTGTACGTTGCTCTCAGCCTTAACATGTACTTGCACTCATTGGCACATGTGGAATGCTGTCAACCTCATTGTTTGTTCTGAAGCAACAATAAGCCGTTGTCAATGTCAGAAGTTTACAAACCATACATATAGAGGCTAAAAACTAATTGTCAATTCATTTAGTTTATCATTTTCTTTTTTTACAAAGTTCTATGACTGAAATTTATGTCATGATTGTTTTCTCTGTAAAATCATTTGTTAAAAATAGCCCTTAGTTAGTACTGTGAGCCTACTGGGAAACCTAAGATCCATCTTCAATGCTTTATGTGTTGTTTGCAGTGTGTGGCATGACACCCCTGAACACCAGGATAGTTGGAGGTGAAGACGCACCACCTGGAAGTTGGCCCTGGCAGGTTAGTCTGCAGATCTTTGGCGGCCATGTTTGTGGTGGTTCCCTCATCAACAAAGAGTGGGTAATGACTGCTGCTCACTGCTTCTTCAGGTGGGTAGTCAAAACAAATGTCTTTCCGTCTGTACTTTTGCAAGGTTTTGGCCCAACGTCTTCCTAAAACCAATGCGTTTCTGTCATTTTTAATTCAGTGCAAGTCCCACCGATTGGCAGGTCTCTCTTGGCCGTCAGAACCTTCAAGGCGAGAACCCCAATGAAGTGACCAAGAGTGTTGACACAATCATATTGCATCCAAACTATGACAGTGTCACCAGTGACAATGACATTGCTCTGCTCAGACTTTCCACACCAGTCCAATTCACAGACTACATCAGACCTGTGTGTCTGGCAGCGGGTGACAGTACATTCAACAACGGTACTGATAGCTGGGTCACTGGCTGGGGCGCAGTCCAGGAGGGAGGTGAGTCTGCTTGTTGCTGGCTAACAGTTTGGACAATGTGTCTTATACACAGCAGGTGGATGTGTAAATTGTCTGTCTTCCTGTTGCCCCCTCAGTGTCATTACCGTTCCCTGAAACTCTGCAAGAAGTGCAGGTGCCAGTTCTGGGAAATCGACAGTGTAACTGCCTCAATGGAGTGGGTACAGTCACAGACAACATGATTTGTGCTGGTGTTCTGGCAGGAGGCAAAGACTCGTGTCAGGTAGGAATAGCTTTTTTTGCGTCCTTACAGACAATCAGTCGCATTCCAAAATCAGTGACCTTTATTTCTTTGCTTCCAACTCCCAGGGTGACTCAGGAGGTCCAATGGTGAATCAGCAGGGCTCCATCTGGGTCCAATCTGGAGTTGTGAGTTTTGGTTTTGGCTGTGCTCGGCCCAATCTGCCGGGAGTATACTCCAGGGTTTCCCGTTACCAGTCCTGGATCGAGTCCCTCATCAGCTCAGATAAGCCCGGCTTTGTCCAGTTCACCTTCAATGGGCTTGATGCTGACAGCAGTTACACCTGTCCTGGCCTGCCACCTCCTGTTATTACCCCTACTACTGCGGAACCAGAAGGAACCACCCCAGATTCAGGATCCACAGCCTCAAGTGCTGAGTGTAAGTATCTCAGATGCCAAAGTGCTTCTTATATGAATGTCACCTTGTTTCCAATTTGTAGAAAAATAAATAACAGACTGGTAATGCTTGGTTCAGAAAGTACTGTACGTTGCTCTCAGCCTTAACATGTACTTGCACTCATTGGCACATGTGGAATGCTGTCAACCTCATTGTTTGTTCTGAAGCAACAATAAGCCGTTGTCAATGTCAGAAGTTTACAAACCATACATATAGAGGCTAAAAACTAATTGTCAATTCATTTAGTTTATCATTTTCTTTTTTTACAAAGTTCTATGACTGAAATTTATGTCATGATTGTTTTCTCTGTAAAATCATTTGTTAAAAATAGCCCTTAGTTAGTACTGTGAGCCTACTGGGAAACCTAAGATCCATCTTCAATGCTTTATGTGTTGTTTGCAGTGTGTGGCATGACACCCCTGAACACCAGGATAGTTGGAGGTGAAGACGCACCACCTGGAAGTTGGCCCTGGCAGGTTAGTCTGCAGATCTTTGGCGGCCATGTTTGTGGTGGTTCCCTCATCAACAAAGAGTGGGTAATGACTGCTGCTCACTGCTTCTTCAGGTGGGTAGTCAAAACAAATGTCTTTCCGTCTGTACTTTTGCAAGGTTTTGGCCCAACGTCTTCCTAAAACCAATGCGTTTCTGTCATTTTTAATTCAGTGCAAGTCCCACCGATTGGCAGGTCTCTCTTGGCCGTCAGAACCTTCAAGGCGAGAACCCCAATGAAGTGACCAAGAGTGTTGACACAATCATATTGCATCCAAACTATGACAGTGTCACCAGTGACAATGACATTGCTCTGCTCAGACTTTCCACACCAGTCCAATTCACAGACTACATCAGACCTGTGTGTCTGGCAGCGGGTGACAGTACATTCAACAACGGTACTGATAGCTGGGTCACTGGCTGGGGCGCAGTCCAGGAGGGAGGTGAGTCTGCTTGTTGCTGGCTAACAGTTTGGACAATGTGTCTTATACACAGCAGGTGGATGTGTAAATTGTCTGTCTTCCTGTTGCCCCCTCAGTGTCATTACCGTTCCCTGAAACTCTGCAAGAAGTGCAGGTGCCAGTTCTGGGAAATCGACAGTGTAACTGCCTCAATGGAGTGGGTACAGTCACAGACAACATGATTTGTGCTGGTGTTCTGGCAGGAGGCAAAGACTCGTGTCAGGTAGGAATAGCTTTTTTTGCGTCCTTACAGACAATCAGTCGCATTCCAAAATCAGTGACCTTTATTTCTTTGCTTCCAACTCCCAGGGTGACTCAGGAGGTCCAATGGTGAATCAGCAGGGCTCCATCTGGGTCCAATCTGGAGTTGTGAGTTTTGGTTTTGGCTGTGCTCGGCCCAATCTGCCGGGAGTATACTCCAGGGTTTCCCGTTACCAGTCCTGGATCGAGTCCCTCATCAGCTCAGATAAGCCCGGCTTTGTCCAGTTCACCTTCAATGGGCTTGATGCTGACAGCAGTTACACCTGTCCTGGCCTGCCACCTCCTGTTATTACCCCTACTACTGCGGAACCAGAAGGAACCACCCCAGATTCAGGATCCACAGCCTCAAGTGCTGAGTGTAAGTATCTCAGATGCCAAAGTGCTTCTTATATGAATGTCACCTTGTTTCCAATTTGTAGAAAAATAAATAACAGACTGGTAATGCTTGGTTCAGAAAGTACTGTACGTTGCTCTCAGCCTTAACATGTACTTGCACTCATTGGCACATGTGGAATGCTGTCAACCTCATTGTTTGTTCTGAAGCAACAATAAGCCGTTGTCAATGTCAGAAGTTTACAAACCATACATATAGAGGCTAAAAACTAATTGTCAATTCATTTAGTTTATCATTTTCTTTTTTTACAAAGTTCTATGACTGAAATTTATGTCATGATTGTTTTCTCTGTAAAATCATTTGTTAAAAATAGCCCTTAGTTAGTACTGTGAGCCTACTGGGAAACCTAAGATCCATCTTCAATGCTTTATGTGTTGTTTGCAGTGTGTGGCATGACACCCCTGAACACCAGGATAGTTGGAGGTGAAGACGCACCACCTGGAAGTTGGCCCTGGCAGGTTAGTCTGCAGATCTTTGGCGGCCATGTTTGTGGTGGTTCCCTCATCAACAAAGAGTGGGTAATGACTGCTGCTCACTGCTTCTTCAGGTGGGTAGTCAAAACAAATGTCTTTCCGTCTGTACTTTTGCAAGGTTTTGGCCCAACGTCTTCCTAAAACCAATGCGTTTCTGTCATTTTTAATTCAGTGCAAGTCCCACCGATTGGCAGGTCTCTCTTGGCCGTCAGAACCTTCAAGGCGAGAACCCCAATGAAGTGACCAAGAGTGTTGACACAATCATATTGCATCCAAACTATGACAGTGTCACCAGTGACAATGACATTGCTCTGCTCAGACTTTCCACACCAGTCCAATTCACAGACTACATCAGACCTGTGTGTCTGGCAGCGGGTGACAGTACATTCAACAACGGTACTGATAGCTGGGTCACTGGCTGGGGCGCAGTCCAGGAGGGAGGTGAGTCTGCTTGTTGCTGGCTAACAGTTTGGACAATGTGTCTTATACACAGCAGGTGGATGTGTAAATTGTCTGTCTTCCTGTTGCCCCCTCAGTGTCATTACCGTTCCCTGAAACTCTGCAAGAAGTGCAGGTGCCAGTTCTGGGAAATCGACAGTGTAACTGCCTCAATGGAGTGGGTACAGTCACAGACAACATGATTTGTGCTGGTGTTCTGGCAGGAGGCAAAGACTCGTGTCAGGTAGGAATAGCTTTTTTTGCGTCCTTACAGACAATCAGTCGCATTCCAAAATCAGTGACCTTTATTTCTTTGCTTCCAACTCCCAGGGTGACTCAGGAGGTCCAATGGTGAATCAGCAGGGCTCCATCTGGGTCCAATCTGGAGTTGTGAGTTTTGGTTTTGGCTGTGCTCGGCCCAATCTGCCGGGAGTATACTCCAGGGTTTCCCGTTACCAGTCCTGGATCGAGTCCCTCATCAGCTCAGATAAGCCCGGCTTTGTCCAGTTCACCTTCAATGGGCTTGATGCTGACAGCAGTTACACCTGTCCTGGCCTGCCACCTCCTGTTATTACCCCTACTACTGCGGAACCAGAAGGAACCACCCCAGATTCAGGATCCACAGCCTCAAGTGCTGAGTGTAAGTATCTCAGATGCCAAAGTGCTTCTTATATGAATGTCACCTTGTTTCCAATTTGTAGAAAAATAAATAACAGACTGGTAATGCTTGGTTCAGAAAGTACTGTACGTTGCTCTCAGCCTTAACATGTACTTGCACTCATTGGCACATGTGGAATGCTGTCAACCTCATTGTTTGTTCTGAAGCAACAATAAGCCGTTGTCAATGTCAGAAGTTTACAAACCATACATATAGAGGCTAAAAACTAATTGTCAATTCATTTAGTTTATCATTTTCTTTTTTTACAAAGTTCTATGACTGAAATTTATGTCATGATTGTTTTCTCTGTAAAATCATTTGTTAAAAATAGCCCTTAGTTAGTACTGTGAGCCTACTGGGAAACCTAAGATCCATCTTCAATGCTTTATGTGTTGTTTGCAGTGTGTGGCATGACACCCCTGAACACCAGGATAGTTGGAGGTGAAGACGCACCACCTGGAAGTTGGCCCTGGCAGGTTAGTCTGCAGATCTTTGGCGGCCATGTTTGTGGTGGTTCCCTCATCAACAAAGAGTGGGTAATGACTGCTGCTCACTGCTTCTTCAGGTGGGTAGTCAAAACAAATGTCTTTCCGTCTGTACTTTTGCAAGGTTTTGGCCCAACGTCTTCCTAAAACCAATGCGTTTCTGTCATTTTTAATTCAGTGCAAGTCCCACCGATTGGCAGGTCTCTCTTGGCCGTCAGAACCTTCAAGGCGAGAACCCCAATGAAGTGACCAAGAGTGTTGACACAATCATATTGCATCCAAACTATGACAGTGTCACCAGTGACAATGACATTGCTCTGCTCAGACTTTCCACACCAGTCCAATTCACAGACTACATCAGACCTGTGTGTCTGGCAGCGGGTGACAGTACATTCAACAACGGTACTGATAGCTGGGTCACTGGCTGGGGCGCAGTCCAGGAGGGAGGTGAGTCTGCTTGTTGCTGGCTAACAGTTTGGACAATGTGTCTTATACACAGCAGGTGGATGTGTAAATTGTCTGTCTTCCTGTTGCCCCCTCAGTGTCATTACCGTTCCCTGAAACTCTGCAAGAAGTGCAGGTGCCAGTTCTGGGAAATCGACAGTGTAACTGCCTCAATGGAGTGGGTACAGTCACAGACAACATGATTTGTGCTGGTGTTCTGGCAGGAGGCAAAGACTCGTGTCAGGTAGGAATAGCTTTTTTTGCGTCCTTACAGACAATCAGTCGCATTCCAAAATCAGTGACCTTTATTTCTTTGCTTCCAACTCCCAGGGTGACTCAGGAGGTCCAATGGTGAATCAGCAGGGCTCCATCTGGGTCCAATCTGGAGTTGTGAGTTTTGGTTTTGGCTGTGCTCGGCCCAATCTGCCGGGAGTATACTCCAGGGTTTCCCGTTACCAGTCCTGGATCGAGTCCCTCATCAGCTCAGATAAGCCCGGCTTTGTCCAGTTCACCTTCAATGGGCTTGATGCTGACAGCAGTTACACCTGTCCTGGCCTGCCACCTCCTGTTATTACCCCTACTACTGCGGAACCAGAAGGAACCACCCCAGATTCAGGATCCACAGCCTCAAGTGCTGAGTGTAAGTAATTTCACTATTTTACTTTTTTATTATGCATATCATCCTTGTCCAAGTTTTAAGTTATCAGCATTCGGGTTTTCTTTTCCAGGTTACTAATACCAGAGTCAAACTTCAGAGAACTGGCAACAAAATGAAGTTCAGGATTAACACACTACAGATCTTATTGAAAAATAACCTTTGTTTCCAATATTTGTATTTTAGATATTATTAAAATCTTTCCAGTTTATTGTCATGTTTATTTAAAGCACAGTGGAAACCTGCTCATCACCTGAAACCCATTTGTAGTGAAAAAAATAGAAGAATAAATAATTGGAATTAAAAGATACAATTACAGAAATAAAATTCTCCCAAATAAAAAACTTTAAATACAACTTTAAATTGATAATTTCAGAGAAGTTTCAACTCCCCAAATCCTTGTTCCAAACTTCTTAAAAAATGGGATTGAATAATCACGTTCTTCAAAAAATAAAAACACAGATATAGATTGCTGAAAAACATATTCTCTCTTCTCCTTTTTTTCTTTCTGTTCTAACTTTGTTGAAATTTTATATCGATTTATGAAAGGCTTCAACTGTGTCATAAAATCTTCTATGACTGTCCTCTCTTCTTTAACGCTAAAGTGGCACCACATGAACGCTGATTTGCTGTTGAAGCTACATTCATTTAAAGGCACAGCAAACTTAAAAAGATGTTAAAGCTGTAAGTGTATCATTGACCACATGCTCTTAGAATTTGTGTCATTGTTTCCCTTGTTTGATGAACAACATGGTTTTATGAGGAAAACAGGTGCAAAATATGATATTATTAGTCCCTTAATGTTTTTAGGTAGCAGCAAATATGAGAATATGTGGTATGCTGTCACTACCAATGTCTGTTCTGAGGCAACCATTCAAAATTCAAAATGTCTGAAAATGTAAAACCATATGCATACGCAGTACAAAATACTTATTGTAATGGGTAATATTTTTTTTTATGATTGCAAATCAAGCTAATTGAATTTCACATGTTTTAATCCACTTGTGAACTTTAAGATCCGTCTTCTCTGCCGTTTTATCTGCAGTGTGTGGCATCACTCCCCTTAACACCCGGATAGTTGGAGGTGAAGACGCACCACCTGGAAGTTGGCCCTGGCAGGTTAGTCTGCAGAGATTTCGCCGCCATGTTTGTGGTGGTTCCCTCATCAACAGAGAGTGGGTAATGACTGCTGCTCACTGCTTCTCCAGGTGAGTTGATATTATATGAGAAATGTGGAATCTTCCTCTGTCTGTCTCTAGATCTTGAAGTCTGTTTTTCTTCTATTAAATTGCTTCTTTAAAGGAATGCATTTCTATTGATTTTATTTCAGTACAAGCAGATGGAGGGTTTCTCTTGGCCGTCAGAACTTGCAAGGTGACAATCCAAACGAAGTGACCAGAAGGGTTTCCTCCATTATCTTGCATCCAAACTATGACAGTGTCACCAGTGACAATGACATTGCTCTGCTCAGACTTTCCACACCAGTCCAATTCACAGACTACATCAGACCTGTGTGTCTGGCAGCGGGTGACAGTACATTCAACAACGGTACTGATAGCTGGGTCACTGGCTGGGGCGCAGTCCAGGAGGGAGGTGAGTCTGCTTGTTGCTGGCTAACAGTTTGGACAATGTGTCTTATACACAGCAGGTGGATGTGTGAATTGTCTGTCTTCCTGTTGCCCCCTCAGTGTCATTACCGTTCCCTGAAACTCTGCAAGAAGTGCAGGTGCCAGTTCTGGGAAATCGACAGTGTAACTGCCTCAATGGAGTGGGTACAGTCACAGACAACATGATTTGTGCTGGTGTTCTGGCAGGAGGCAAAGACTCGTGTCAGGTAGGAATAGCTTTTTTTGCGTCCTTACAGACAATCAGTCGCATTCCAAAATCAGTGACCTTTATTTCTTTGCTTCCAACTCCCAGGGTGACTCAGGAGGTCCAATGGTGAATCAGCAGGGCTCCATCTGGGTCCAATCTGGAGTTGTGAGTTTTGGTTTTGGCTGTGCTCGGCCCAATCTGCCGGGAGTATACTCCAGGGTTTCCCGTTACCAGTCCTGGATCGAGTCCCTCATCAGCTCAGATAAGCCCGGCTTTGTCCAGTTCACCTTCAATGGGCTTGATGCTGACAGCAGTTACACCTGTCCTGGCCTGCCACCTCCTGTTATTACCCCTACTACTGCAGAACCAGAAGGAACCACCCCAGATTCAGGATCCACAGCCTCAAGTGCTGAGTGTAAGTAACTTCACTATTTTACTTTTTTATTATGCATATCATCCTTGTCCAAGTTTTAAGTTATCAGCATTCGGGTTTTCTTTTCCAGGTTACTAATACCAGAGTCAAACTTCAGAGAACTGGCAACAAAATGAAGTTCAGGATTAACACACTACAGATCTTATTGAAAAATAACCTTTGTTTCCAATATTTGTATTTTAGATATTATTAAAATCTTTCCAGTTTATTGTCATGTTTATTTAAAGCACAGTGGAAACCTGCTCATCACCTGAAACCCATTTGTAGTGAAAAAAATAGAAGAATAAATAATTGGAATTAAAAGATACAATTACAGAAATAAAATTCTCCCAAATAAAAAACTTTAAATACAACTTTAAATTGATAATTTCAGAGAAGTTTCAACTCCCCAAATCCTTGTTCCAAACTTCTTAAAAAATGGGATTGAATAATCACGTTCTTCAAAAAATAAAAACACAGATATAGATTGCTGAAAAACATATTCTCTCTTCTCCTTTTTTTCTTTCTGTTCTAACTTTGTTGAAATTTTATATCGATTTATGAAAGGCTTCAACTGTGTCATAAAATCTTCTATGACTGTCCTCTCTTCTTTAACGCTAAAGTGGCACCACATGAACGCTGATTTGCTGTTGAAGCTACATTCATTTAAAGGCACAGCAAACTTAAAAAGATGTTAAAGCTGTAAGTGTATCATTGACCACATGCTCTTAGAATTTGTGTCATTGTTTCCCTTGTTTGATGAACAACATGGTTTTATGAGGAAAACAGGTGCAAAATATGATATTATTAGTCCCTTAATGTTTTTAGGTAGCAGCAAATATGAGAATATGTGGTATGCTGTCACTACCAATGTCTGTTCTGAGGCAACCATTCAAAATTCAAAATGTCTGAAAATGTAAAACCATATGCATACGCAGTACAAAATACTTATTGTAATGGGTAATATTTTTTTTTTATGATTGCAAATCAAGCTAATTGAATTTCACATGTTTTAATCCACTTGTGAACTTTAAGATCCGTCTTCTCTGCCGTTTTATCTGCAGTGTGTGGCATCACTCCCCTTAACACCCGGATAGTTGGAGGTGAAGACGCACCACCTGGAAGTTGGCCCTGGCAGGTTAGTCTGCAGAGATTTCGCCGCCATGTTTGTGGTGGTTCCCTCATCAACAGAGAGTGGGTAATGACTGCTGCTCACTGCTTCTCCAGGTGAGTTGATATTATATGAGAAATGTGGAATCTTCCTCTGTCTGTCTCTAGATCTTGAAGTCGGTTTTTCTTCTATTAAATTGCTTCTTTAAAGGAATGCATTTCTATTGATTTTATTTCAGTACAAGCAGATGGAGGGTTTCTCTTGGCCGTCAGAACTTGCAAGGTGACAATCCAAACGAAGTGACCAGAAGGGTTTCCTCCATTATCTTGCATCCAAACTATGACAGTGTCACCAGTGACAATGACATTGCTCTGCTCAGACTTTCCACACCAGTCCAATTCACAGACTACATCAGACCTGTGTGTCTGGCAGCGGGTGACAGTACATTCAACAACGGTACTGATAGCTGGGTCACTGGCTGGGGCGCAGTCCAGGAGGGAGGTGAGTCTGCTTGTTGCTGGCTAACAGTTTGGACAATGTGTCTTATACACAGCAGGTGGATGTGTAAATTGTCTGTCTTCCTGTTGCCCCCTCAGTGTCATTACCGTTCCCTGAAACTCTGCAAGAAGTGCAGGTGCCAGTTCTGGGAAATCGACAGTGTAACTGCCTCAATGGAGTGGGTACAGTCACAGACAACATGATTTGTGCTGGTGTTCTGGCAGGAGGCAAAGACTCGTGTCAGGTAGGAATAGCTTTTTTTGCGTCCTTACAGACAATCAGTCGCATTCCAAAATCAGTGACCTTTATTTCTTTGCTTCCAACTCCCAGGGTGACTCAGGAGGTCCAATGGTGAATCAGCAGGGCTCCATCTGGGTCCAATCTGGAGTTGTGAGTTTTGGTTTTGGCTGTGCTCGGCCCAATCTGCCGGGAGTATACTCCAGGGTTTCCCGTTACCAGTCCTGGATCGAGTCCCTCATCAGCTCAGATAAGCCCGGCTTTGTCCAGTTCACCTTCAATGGGCTTGATGCTGACAGCAGTTACACCTGTCCTGGCCTGCCACCTCCTGTTATTACCCCTACTACTGCGGAACCAGAAGGAACCACCCCAGATTCAGGATCCACAGCCTCAAGTGCTGAGTGTAAGTATCTTAGATGCCAAAGTGCTTCTTATATGAATGTCACCTTGTTTCCAATTTGTAGAAAAATAAATAACAGACTGGTAATGCTTGGTTCAGAAAGTACTGTACGTTGCTCTCAGCCTTAACATGTACTTGCACTCATTGGCACATGTGGAATGCTGTCAACCTCATTGTTTGTTCTGAAGCAACAATAAGCCGTTGTCAATGTCAGAAGTTTACAAACCATACATATAGAGGCTAAAAACTAATTGTCAATTCATTTAGTTTATCATTTTCTTTTTTTACAAAGTTCTATGACTGAAATTTATGTCATGATTGTTTTCTCTGTAAAATCATTTGTTAAAAATAGCCCTTAGTTAGTACTGTGAGCCTACTGGGAAACCTAAGATCCATCTTCAATGCTTTATGTGTTGTTTGCAGTGTGTGGCATGACACCCCTGAACACCAGGATAGTTGGAGGTGAAGACGCACCACCTGGAAGTTGGCCCTGGCAGGTTAGTCTGCAGATCTTTGGCGGCCATGTTTGTGGTGGTTCCCTCATCAACAAAGAGTGGGTAATGACTGCTGCTCACTGCTTCTTCAGGTGGGTAGTCAAAACAAATGTCTTTCCGTCTGTACTTTTGCAAGGTTTTGGCCCAACGTCTTCCTAAAACCAATGCGTTTCTGTCATTTTTAATTCAGTGCAAGTCCCACCGATTGGCAGGTCTCTCTTGGCCGTCAGAACCTTCAAGGCGAGAACCCCAATGAAGTGACCAAGAGTGTTGACACAATCATATTGCATCCAAACTATGACAGTGTCACCAGTGACAATGACATTGCTCTGCTCAGACTTTCCACACCAGTCCAATTCACAGACTACATCAGACCTGTGTGTCTGGCAGCGGGTGACAGTACATTCAACAACGGTACTGATAGCTGGGTCACTGGCTGGGGCGCAGTCCAGGAGGGAGGTGAGTCTGCTTGTTGCTGGCTAACAGTTTGGACAATGTGTCTTATGCACAGCAGGTGGATGTGTAAATTGTCTGTCTTCCTGTTGCCCCCTCAGTGTCATTACCGTTCCCTGAAACTCTGCAAGAAGTGCAGGTGCCAGTTCTGGGAAATCGACAGTGTAACTGCCTCAATGGAGTGGGTACAGTCACAGACAACATGATTTGTGCTGGTGTTCTGGCAGGAGGCAAAGACTCGTGTCAGGTAGGAATAGCTTTTTTTGCGTCCTTACAGACAATCAGTCGCATTCCAAAATCAGTGACCTTTATTTCTTTGCTTCCAACTCCCAGGGTGACTCAGGAGGTCCAATGGTGAATCAGCAGGGCTCCATCTGGGTCCAATCTGGAGTTGTGAGTTTTGGTTTTGGCTGTGCTCGGCCCAATCTGCCGGGAGTATACTCCAGGGTTTCCCGTTACCAGTCCTGGATCGAGTCCCTCATCAGCTCAGATAAGCCCGGCTTTGTCCAGTTCACCTTCAATGGGCTTGATGCTGACAGCAGCTACACCTGTCCTGGCCTATCACCACCTTCAACAACAAAACCAACAACAAAACCAACAACAAAACCAACACCAAAACCAAGTATAATCACCAATCCTGCAAGTGAGTGCTGTGAATATAATCCATTTTCTCCGCTCAATCAATTCAGAATTATTTGTCAGTTGGTTAGTTGTTATTTATTTCCATTTCTTCAAATCAAAAAAATATTTTATTCAGGGTCAGTGTGTGGCAAAGCTCCCTTGAATAGCCGTGCTGTAGGTGACAGTGGTGTTGTACCTGGGGGAACGTGGCCCTGGATGGTAAGCCTCCACAGGAATGGGGTGTACACTTGTGCGGGAACCCTCATCGCTGACAATTTTGTCCTCACGTCTGCCCAGTGTGTCTCGGGGTAAGTGTTTAAACATTTAACATACATTTTTAAAAAGGATTCAAGAGCATGATAATGAAGAGTGGGACCCTTTAACTTCTCAACAGCTCCAACCCAGATGTCGGTGAGTGGACTGTGTTTCTTGGCCACCAGCATGTGAACGGCTCTGAAGAGTTTGAGATGTCTCTTGGCGTTGTGAAAATTACAGTGAGCAAAATGACTAGTTCAAACGTAGCACTGCTGCAGCTTGGCAATCCAGTAAACTACAAGGATTATATCCAGCCTGTGTGTATGGACATTAACAACGCCAGAACCTTCCCCATTGGAAGTCAATGCTGGGTGCCAGGCTGGGGGAAAGGGAGCAAGAACAGGGGTAAGGTTATTTTTATTGAAACGTTATTTTTTGCTACTTACACATTTTATTTCTCGAAAGATTTTGTAATCTTAAAGTTTTTTATTGTATGCCAGGTAGAGATTGATAATTCTCTGAGACTGTATTCATGTTGGTAAATGAGATTGTCTCTGTGCTGATAAAGCTGGCTCAGGTCTCCGAGACATTGAAACTCAAGTGGCAGGATGTGGAAATGTTTCTGATTCGGAGAACATCTGCACTTATACCATGGATCTTCAACAGGTAATAACAAGTTTCACAATACTCAAGTATCTAAAATTCCAAATTCGGTCCTGAGCTGTGCCTTGATTTACCTGATGCATCGGACACCTTTTGGATAACCCCACTGCAACTCCACTAACCCATGTTATCACCCCCACCCATTTTTCTAACTTCCCTTTTTTTCATATCTGTTTTCCCCTTCTCTCTTTCTCTCTCTCTCTCGCTCTCTCTGTCACTACCTTTTGCTCAGGTTCTTAATGTTGTTCTTTTGTACTTTATTGATTATCTTTAGTCTTTTTTTGTCATTTTTCACAACAAAGGCTCTCATCCCCAAGCAAACACTTTTTGCTATGCAATTCTTCGTTTTATTATTCATTATTATTATTATAATTTTTCCTAATTGTTTGAGCAAATGTTTTGTTTGTTTGTCACTGTCACTGTTTGGTGATTGGTCATTATCTCCCTGTATTATACTTTCATGTAGTCATGTTTTTTTTGCCTTTCTTCTTGCACAAAAAAATACAAAAGAAATTAAGACTTTGATTCAGACTTTTAGACTTTGTTTGTCTACAGGGGGTGCCAAAAGGCATAGCATGATAGCTCCTCGCAGCTGCTTTAAATTGCATATTTTATGTTTGACATTAAAATGTAATGCAGAAAAAAATCTTTTTACAAACGTGTTCTTTATTTTCTATGTCTGTTTATTATCAGCTATTTCAGATCAGCATTTAAAATTTGTTTAAAATGTCTAGAAAAAACTAAACATCTTTTGTTTATTTAGAATGTATTTCTCAAATCCAGCCTGAATCGGGCCCTCTGCTGGGTTCAAGTTTTTTCTGTTTTTATTGGATCAAAGTTGTCCAATTCCTTCTTAATAGTTTTGAACATTACAAACAGTAGCTTTTATCTGGACAACAGCCCACACTGGATTACTCGATCTCATTCAGTTTTGTAATGCTTCCCTCCCCCCCTGAATAATTAAATAATCCAATTTCAAAATGTGCTTCTAACCAATTGCTTTAATCTGATCGGATCACTTTTGAACTGAGCAGCAGTTTTCTAGTTATCATGACCACACTTGTGATGATTGTTCTGTTTTTTTTTTATTTGCAGGGGGATCAGGGCGCCCCTCTACTATGCAAGTCAGACTCTTCTTGGTTCCAGGTGGCTGTCGTGTCAATGAGTGGAAGTAAATCAGTCCGTGCAGATGTTCAGGTCTTCACAAAAACGTCTAGATTTGGATCTTTTTTAAAGGAGACGGTTGGTGACATGCCAACTCCATCAGCAACAGGAAATGCACCAAGTTTCTCAATTTCCTTATTCGTCTCTTTCACCGTCCCTATTGCCTCAATGTTCCTTTTGTGATAATGTTAGGGTTACTGTCAGTGAGGATGGATGAAGTTGTTCATTACTGTACTTAAAAGTCATCTTGAGGAACAGCTTTGAGCTCTTTTTTAAGGCTCTCATTATATTCTTCTTCTTCTTAACTTTTTATTTGTAAAGGGACCATGTACAATATCAAACATAATTGTTACCAGAGTTAGAGTTAGTTAGTTTACATCTGCAGTCCCTCGGCAGGTCACAATTAAAACATCACATAGTAATACAAACATTAACTAGTCTGTTAATGCACTTCAGATACTCAGGTCAAAGTGATAGAATTTCTACATTATGAGACACTTCAAAAGTTTACATTTTATTGTTGTATGGTTTTAATACATCAAACAGGGAAATCTGTTTTTCAAAATGTGTTTGTTTCAGTTAAATGAAGGAAAACTAGAATGTTACTGGTGTTATACCTTTGTCTTTCCTTCAAAACAAGAATGTGAATGAAGTTTTGTGACAAATGGAATGTAATTTTTATCACATATATAATAAATATTGATGAAGCATATCAAAAGTCTTTTTAATAACAAAAACATTGATCAGTAAAATGTGATGATTTAGTCTAAACAAAGCAGTTTACTTAGTCAGCAAAGGCTGCATTCTATACATTTTTTTTAAGTGAGCATCAAACAAGAACTATAAAACAACTATGAAATTACACGTTTAGCTGGCAGAAGTAAAAAAGCAGATAAATATATATCATTATTATGGTGAGAGGGCTTCTTCACCACCTGGACTCCCTCCTTCTCCTGCATCCGCTGTTATCATCTGATTGTACTTACTCTTGAAAAAGCCAGCCTGAGAGCAGAACACAAGAGCTATTACATTCAAACATGCACAATGAGTCGAGCCCAATATGAGAAAACTCTACAAGTCAAAATATTTTTAAAATCCTTTCAAGCTGCCTATGAACTGAAAGAGTTTGTCTACAGTTTCTCACCTTATATAGGCCAGCAGTGAGTAAAGCCAGTAGAGCCAGCCCTCCCAGAGATCCTCCAACAATCTCTTTGGTGAAGTCAGGTTCAGCATACACCTCTACCACCATCTCAATCTGTCAGAAAAAAAGGACAGGGTGTGGATTAAATTGAAACTCTTTAAAAAGCATGAAAAGGTGTATCATTGTGTAATCACCTTGCGAACAGGGGCAGTGTTACTAGATCCTGTTGAAAAGAAAATGTACTGGCTTGTGTTGTACTCCAGAGTGGCTGTGCTGGTCAAGATAAATTTGGCAGATTGAAGTCCAATCTGTTTGAGAATTAATGAAAGTTTTATAGGATAATATTTATTATCCAATGTTATTATGAGCTACATTTGACCAACTTTCAAATTCAAGTTGAATATTATACACATGATTTACCTGTTCTATCCATTGAGAGCTCAGGTTGGCAGAGATTTGATACTTTTTACTCTCCAGTCTTCCAATGAATGTTTTGCACTTGAACACACCACATATGGCAACAGAGCAGTCCTGTTGGGATTGGAAAAAAAGAAAAAGGCAAAGAAAGACGTAGACCTTTAAGTCTCTGTATACCAACATTTTTAAAAAAAGAACTCTAGGTATACAAGAATCACAAGGATGCCATATTTTATTTCCAAAAAAGAAAAGACTCTGCAGCTAAATGTGGGGTTGTAGGACGGAGGATTAGGGCCACGTTAATTTAATTTAATTTTTTTAATTTCGAGATAAAACTTGTAAATATACGAGAATAATCTCGTACATTCACAAGTTCGAGACCAGCCTGCATGAAAACAATGAAAGTAGAACTCTTAAAGTCTTTTCCTCTGCAGACAACTTCCTCCAAGTCGATGTGGTTCCTTCTTCGGCAAAGCCACAGTTTCTTGCGGTCTCTTTTCAGGGTGCTGATATTTTATGACACGGTGAAGATGATGATTTTGCCAAAAGCATGTGTAGTTTCATATTTGCATAAGTAAAGCCCCAACACAACTATTTGTGTCTGTTATCGGTCTGCCTTGTTGAAGTGTCTCATGTGCAGAGCCAGTCTGTGTCCTGTTCATACATTATTTTACAGATAAACAAGGTCTTGCAAATTGAAGTGAAAACTTCTCTTGAACTATAACGTTTTTTTCCCACTACTTGTGTAGTGGGAAGTAGCCTATGTTCTTATAGTGAAACCTTTACTAAAGTATAACAAGATGCACCATGTTTGTCATTTGAGAACATGCTGCTGCTGCACTTCTGATATAGACTCAAATAACGACTTTATTCTTTTAAGACTTTAAGAGTTCTACTTTCATCATTTTCGCAAAGGCTGGTCTCAAACTCGTAAATTTACGACTTTATTCTCGTTAATTTACGACTTTATTCTCGTTAATTTACGACTTTATTCTCGTAAATTTACGACTTTAGTCTCGGAATATATATATTTTTTTAAATTAACGCGGCCCTAATCCTCCGTCGTAGGGTTGTGTAATGCAATTTTAATTGTTTCCTCTAAAAGAAGAAACATAGGGTTAGAAATGTACAGATATAATTCTATGCAATAGGCTGTGCAGTAGAGGCATACTTACCACTATCTTATTTTTCTGTGTTTGTACAATGAAATCTGTGACTTGAGAGTTCACATCCATTTCTCTTTGACAGCCCGGAATCTGAAAAATAAAAAGCTTATTATTCAGTTTAACAGACAACAACATCTGATCCTCATATAACCATGTTAATGCAATGTTCTGTAAGGCTGAAGATGCAAACAAAAAAAGCTAAAATTGAGACTTTTTTTATTGGATTAAAATCCCAACTCACCTGAAAACTGCTTGAATCCACCCAGATGTCTTTATCACCAAGTTTTACAGGCACCCTGATCACTACTTGGAAATTCAGAGCTCTGATATCATTTGCGACCTTAGAGAGAGGAGGAAAACAAATGGGGTACTTGAATAAAGCACTACCTGAGTATGACATTTTTTTTTTAATAGAGATTAAATTTTAAAATAATTGCTGTTGTATTGATAAGAGATTTTACCGAAATTGTTTGCTGGACTGGTTTCTGCAAGTCATTTTTTCCATAAGTGAAATTTCTGTAGCTGAGGGAACTAAAGAGACAAATTCAATATTAGCTGATAAAATGTCCACTATGAATAATAAGAAAAGAAGTTGTATAATTATAAAAATTATGAATTTATTTTAAGTAATCAATTTTGTTCAACATAGAGCAACACAAACCTTTCAATTGTTGCAAAAATGCTGTACTTCACACCAATATCTTTTTTTTTGTAGAGTTTACTTGAGGGGGAGTGCTCCAGATTCCCACTAAAGGAGAAGTCCAATCATTTTACAAATTGGGAATTGACTATTGCACACAAACACAACTGAATACTTAAGATTTTGTTACCTGGTAGCATTTGCAGTAAAATATATATTGTTGCCAAGTTGACTGTTGGATTCAATCCCATAGGAGACAATGACAAGAGCCTAAAATTCAAGAAATGAGAGCTATCAGAGATATTTCCCTTTCTGCAGCGGTGAGATGACATCTTCTAAAAAAAACAAAACAAACAAACCGTAGTGCCACTCTTGAAAATGGGCTGGTCAATAGTGCAGTCTGTCTTTCCTCGTGATAAACCATCCTCACTGTCCAATGAATTGCACTCAATTCTTCCCTATATTTAAAAAAAAAAAAGGCTTTTCCGTGTGACATGAGAGAAAAACAGACCAGAGATGAAATTGATACAGACTTGACCCTTACACCTCACCTGCAAAATCGTAAACTTCCTGAAGGAGAGTCCAGCCGGGTAAGTTAGAATGGCATGAGTGTTGTAGGAGTTTTCCCCTGAGTTTTCCATTGAGACAGTGACATCCAACAGTTCATCGATGCCAACTCTAACCTCTGAAGATCTGACAGATAACAAGGAAAGAGAAAAGTGAAGGTAGGGGAGGACAAGACTTATGGCACTTACAGATGCCAGTTCAAAGCGGGATACTTACACCCCCATCTACAATATCAAAGAATGGAGGTAGAATGGTGAGGAGAGATGTTTTGCCCAATATCCACCTTGCATGGTTGTAACAGAGGCGTAATGCGGTGAAGATGCTGACAATGTGTAATGTTGGCGCAGGCAGTGGGGAACAGTGCTGTGTGTGTGTGTCTTAAGTGTTTGTACGTGTAGCTTCTCCTGTGTGTCATCTGGCCTTTCGTGCTTTCACAACACTGTAAAGCTGTGAAATCATTATTGTCATTATGCTGTGATATCTAAGGTGCAGCAATGCTCTGAGCTAGAAGCTTGACCTTAGCTTGGCAGTATGCAAGATTAAAATGGGTTACGATCAAGCATCAACCTCTGTCTTTAAAAAATGAAGCCAATGTAGAAGTGCAAAGGAACTGCAGTTCCTCAAAAGCCCACTAGAGGCTGGCTCCAACAGCCAAGGAATCTCCATAAATTCAAATTTTTACAGCAGAAATAAACATGTTACTGGTTTTAAACACAGATTAAGTCTCAATGGTTCATTTCTTCATGGGTTCACAGTGACTGAGACTACGTCCATGTTTAAAACAGTCTTTGTTCACGATCTCAGTTTAGGTTCTTATCATTTGGCCTACTAACTAATCAACATAAAATACAAAGGCAGCTAAGGTTGGTAAGCACAGTTTTAATATGACTTTATGGAAAATCTCAAGTGGGTGCTTAGAGGACTGTCTTTGATATGCCACACCTGGAGTAATAACTAAAAAACATACATAGGAATTTGAGGTTTCTTAAATAGCAGTAAGGCTTACATGTTTACTACTAGTATGCTAGTAAGCAAAGCTGAAACATTTGTGCCTTGAATTTCCCTATACTTAACAACACAACTGAAATAAAGGAAATAAAAGGGCATGCTTTTAAAAGTAAATGTGCAAACTTTCTCTTGTCATCTGACCTGAAACACCAGTATGACTTGATTTTTGCAACTCACCTAGTAAAGTTGAAATCCACTTTCATGTTATCTACACATTTGCCGTCATTGCCACAGTTGATCTCAAATCCTAACTGTGGAAGAGAGTATGAGGTAAACAACATTAGGATAATAAAGTGATAGCACACAAAACATCAGTTATAGGTTTGTGTTCCTACTTTTAGAATTAAATGTAGTAATGAGTGAACATTGCTTAGATGGAATCACATTGCATTACAGAGCCCTCCATATGTTAAATATCTTGAAATGTACAATTTTGTTGACAAGAAATCACGTATAATTTTGCCATAAAAGTTGTATTTTACCCCAGAAAGGGCAGGCTTTGATGTTCAATTATTTCAATAAAGACAACATCTTAAAAGTATTGAAAAGCAAGTTCAAACCGACCAATAAATGAAGGAGTCTTACAAAGATAACTTACAGGATAATAGTTTGTTGTCTGAGCCTGTTGGGCAAGACTTGGGCTAA